GCCAAGATCACATTGATTGTGCAAAACCATGCTGGATACAAACTTTTATCTTTCAAAAAAAACTGCATCATTGAAGGCTCAATTATTGTGTTTTTCTTTTAAGACAAAAGGTGTTAATGTATGAGTTGTTTTTTCGGACCTAAAGCCTCAGCATTCAGGTTTAATGGCAGAGTTGGCACTTTTCCAGAAATAAGTGGGCTTGGGGTTGCCGTTTGGGCACTCGGCCTCTGAAAGCTCCATCACTACTGATGTAGCCATAGCCCCAGAAATCCCATACTATTTGGTGATACCAGTGAAACCCATCAGCTTTAAGAAGAGGAGGGACATGAACACTTTCCATCTACTTGGCCTCCTCATTCACATCCTTGCATCAAAACGCCATGTTTTGGCCCCCTTACTTATTAATTTTTGGAGGTATCTCGAATTCCTCTCCAATTTAATGTCAACAGGGAAGTATAATATTCACAAGGGAAGAGCTATTCTAAATCTTTGTTGAAAGGCTTCCTCCCATGGTTTAGATTTAGTGTCTGAGTAATAAATCTGGAATTAAATCAATAGCTCTTGCCAGGCATAGTGGCACATACTCCTTGTAACCCCAGCACTCACAAGGCTGAGGCAGGAAGATTGCGGTGAGTTTGAAGCCAGCCTGGGCTGACCGCATAGTGAGACCCTGTCTCAAAAAACCCAAAATAAAGAAATAAATAAATAATTCTGCTGACAAGGGGGCACAGTGGAAGAACTGACCAAGCTGAGACCAGTGCCACACTCGAGACAATGTATGAGGTTCAAATCCCCAAAAAGCAACTCATAAAATGACAAGAACTGTGTGGACGCTTGCTGTGTAACACAAAACAAGCACGCCACTCTCCTTTCTTGGTGGCCTTCCATGCTGTGAATCAATTTACTACTTGGCAGACCCTGGAAACTGCTGTTCTTATAGAAAGCATGGGAAGGGAGAAGATGTTAAGCTTGGCAATAAGACTTTGCTTTATTTATTATTATTTCTTTTCTTCTTGGTCTTCTGAGACAGGGTCTGGCTAGGTAGTTCATACTGGTCTCATACTTACAGCAATTCTCCTGCCTCAGCCTCCTGAGCGCTGGAATTACAGGCGTGCGCCATCATGCCTGACTAAGACTTTAAGAGTGATTATAACTTCTATGCCTCAGCTTCCCATTCCCAGTGACAGCTTCGTCAGCCCAATAAATTTCTCTTAAGCACTTTTTCTGGAAGATATATTCATAAGTTCCTGTCTCCTTTTAAGATGCTGTGAAAAATCCTACATAGGCTCTGTATTGCATATCTGATGCATGTGTACATATGCAGCTTCTCACAGGTATGTCTGTATTTTACGTGTGTATATGTGCATATTTCTGCATACTGTGAAGCCTGATATGAATTTTTTCCACTTTCCACTGCTTTATACTTTGTTTTTATGGATGGTGACTCAGCTCCAGGCTATAAAACAGTGAGCTCTTGTCAGCTCACTTTGTTTACAGTAGCAATTTATGTGGAGCCTTTGCAGTTACATGATGAACTGCTACTTTACATTAGCTATAATTCTTAAAGCAGTGTGGGGTTCAGGCACCCTGCGTCCAATCAGAATTACCAGAGCAAGCAGTCACTCCTTTCCACAGCACTCTAAGACCTTAGTGGGACCACACTGTAGTGAAAAATAATCAACAAGTTTGATTCTCTTTAAACTCAGTAAGACAAAACTTCTCCCTAGTGACGTGGCTAGAGCTGAAACAGCCCAACCAACATCTAGCACCTCCAGCTTTCACATCATTTTGAGTTGTAGTCTTAAAGCTCACCAAACCGCTATGTGAGGGGAAAAAAACACAAACACAACACAACAAAAACTCTTACTAAACAAACACTACGGGCAGATGGGGCTGGGGATACAGGGGTGAGCAAGAAAAGCAGCATCCCTGCTTTCGTGAAAAGTCCTGTTGCATGACAGACATTTGCTTTCTTTGGGACAGCAAGTTACTTTCTAGACTTTGCACCTTATTGGAATAAGGTTAGCAGGAGCTGGAGTTATCTATTAAGCTCTGGGTGAACTATTCAGATCCCCTGGTTTAGGAACTCCTTTTATCCACTATTCTACCCAGTAACAGAGGTCTATTTTTAGTGCTTTTTTTTCTATGCTTTTTTTTTTTTGTTCTATGTAATTCAGGCTGGCCTTGAACCTGTGGCAATACTCCTGTGTGCTGGGTTAACAGGCATGCAGCACCATGCCTATGTTTGGGTTTCTTAAGACAGGGTCTTGCAATGTTCAGGCTGGCTTTAAACTTGTTATCTAGCTACGCTTGGTGGCATTTGCCTATAACCCCAGCACTCAAGAGCCTGAGGCAGCAGGATTGTTATGAGTTCAAGGCCAGTCTTGGCTACATAGGGATTTCAAAGCCAGCCTGAACTATATAGTGAGACTGTCTCAAATAAAACTAAAAAGTCACCAAACAAAACAGTTGTTATGTGGCTCAAGCCGTCTTGAATTCTACCTTCTACCTCAGCCTCCCAGGTGGTAGGACTACAGGTATGCATCACAGTGCCCAGCTCAGATGTAGCTTTTTATTTTTTGTGATACCAAGAATTCAACCCAGGGCCCTCACATTGAGCCATATCTCCAGCCTTTTTAAAATTTATTGTGTGAGAGAGTCAAAAGTACTAAATTGCTCCATCTGGTCTTATATTTGGAATCCTCCTTCCTTAGCCTCCCAGGGTGCTGGGTTACAGGGGTGCATCACCATGCTCCACTCAGATCTTTTTAGCTGGCCCCAGACAGCACCCATCCAAAGAGCTCGTTGACATCCTTGATTGGCTTGTGCTGCCATTCAGCTCTTACCTAGTAATTGACAAATGACACCAAGGACCTCCTGTTTAAGGAATTCAGTGAGAACCTTTGAATAGTTTGGTTTTTGGACAAGGTCTCCCTTTGTACTCTAGGCTGGCCTGGAACTCATCATCTTCCTGCCTCAACCTCTCAAGTATCAGGGTTTAGAGCATGAGCCACCAGACCCAGCTTTGGCCTGTCCCTTTAAAAGGAAGGCTTGGTCCTTATTTAATCTACCCCTTCATTCTGTTTAATCTATCACTGATAACATTATCATGTAACCCAGTGTATGTTAAATCAACTATAAAAAACACCTTAGAAGTACAAAGAGCTTGCGATGTGACCTGTAGGCCAAAGCTAATTCTAAGTGACAGGATGGAAAAGGAACTGTGCTGGTTGTCTCCAATCTTTTCCTGTTATCTGTCAGAGAATGGGTTACAGTGAACCAGAAACCAAAGTGCTCAGGTCTTTGTCTCTTCAGTCTACTGATACCACCAAACAGTACCGGGAAGCCAACGTTAGCTGGGGAGGCGGAAGTAGACGCAATCAAACTAGAGGTAACGATACAATTTTAGCATGGAAACCAGGAAAATACTGAGGAAAAAAAGGCATTCTTCAAGTTGAGCATGGTGGCACACACCTACAATCCTACCACTTGGGAGGCTGAGGCAGGAGGATCACCACAAGTTCATGTGGCCAGCCTGGGTTATATAATGAGTTCAAGACCACCCTGAACCACATAGTGAGACCCTGTCTCAAAAAACAAAAAGGATATTAATATTGGAACAACAAATGTAAACTGGGCCCATGCTCTGCAAACCACTAGGTAGGACCATCCTTCCTTGAAAATTAAGCTATTAGGCAACTTGCCCAGGAAAAATGATGGATATCTGGGTTTATGGAACCTGGACGAGCAAAATACACACCTGCCTAAACAAAGCAGTCATCTCTAAGAACTGCTATCGCTGGTCCCAACTATCTCCAAATTGATACTGCTCACAGTCACTACAGCCCACAATACTGTTAGTCATATTAATGCTCTTAGTAAAGTTGCACATTAGAGCTCACGTTAGACCGAGGGCTGCTTTTCACTAGAAGTATGTGCATGGACCATGGCAGCAAGATGGAGCTGCCAGCCTGCCTAGTGCAGATGCACTACACAGGAGGGCTCTAAGTGGGAGAACTTCGGGAGACCAAGAACAAAGGTCGAGATCTCAATGCAGAGCTTTTGGGAGAATCCTAGCAGGGCACTGGCAACACCCAAGGACAGGCCTGTGCCCAAGGCAAGCCAGCCTTGAAGGCAGGCTCCAACCCGGGCAGCAATGGGGTCAGTGGTTGCTACTTAGTTGCACTCCTGGCAGCCGCGCAGTGGATGCATTTGGGAAAAGCAGGGGTAGTAAAACCAGTTAATCACATATTAAGTACTTTTGAGCTATTACAGAATTGAGGACTCTGAGAAACCATGTTATCTATCGTACAGAGGCTGTCTTGTGCTCTAAAACTCTAGGAAACACCAAGATTGTGACCTGAGAGTCCAGGCAAAAAATTTAATCCCAGGCATTATGGCTTGTGCCTAGATGTCCCCCCAAAGCGTCATGTGGTCATGGACAGGGGCTTTTTCAGAAGTGGCTGGATCCAGTGTGACTGATTCAGGGTGTAGTGCCAGGAGTAAGGGCGTGAGTGCTATGCCCCTCCAAGGGTGGGTAGCCTGAATGTAATGCAAAGGACAGAAAGAGGCTTGCAACTAGTTACTCTGGTCATTTGTTGCTTGCTTGCTGCCTTCTGCCTGCCTGGCTTCGCCATGGGGTTTCTCCTCTGATGCCCTCTGCCACACCACCCTGCCTTGGATCCAGCTGACTATGGACTGAAACCTCTACAAACTGAGCTAAAATAAGCCTTTCCTCGACTTTGGGTGTTGGCTATTTGAGCAATGAGAAGGAAACTAACACACCAGGGATCACAAATATCTAAAGTTAAAGGCACAGGAAAAAGCTGGTCAGCAATAGAACTCCAGTCTTAAAAATTCACAAAGTACAGTTAAACCTAAACTTATTTTGCCCGTATGACAAAATAGAAACAAAACACCCTCCCCCGCTTTTTGGCAGGAAATAAAAGGAATGAAATGGCACATAGGTTTCTAAGAAAAACACAACAGAACACGTCAGAAAAGATCTTATAAATGTTAGGCTGATTTATGAGCACTGCTCTGGGCAGTTACAGTTTGTTTACAGCGAGGAGTTATTTAACTTTGAACATACTGTACATAACAATTAGAAGTCACCATGGCAAGAGAAAACCACAGCTGGCCTGCTGCACCCAGCACAAAAACGAGATAACAGGAAGGACAATGTAGGAATGGAGGTGGGGTTTATTATAAAAGAAACTCCTTAGGAAACAGAGGGATATTCTGCACCGGGAAGACAGACATGAAGATACAAAATTACAAGTGTTTTAACTCTAGCCCTGTCCCCAAGGAGACAGCTGAAGGAAACAGGCAATTCTGTAAAATCACACTTAAAAATCCTAAAAACTTGATTAAAATCTAAACTTGTCTTGCTTTTAAAAAATTTAATATATCAAAAGTCCTGTTTTAGTGACATGCTAGCCCCACCGGAAAGGAAATTCGGTACCCACGATGTGCTCAAGTTGACCAGCCAACTCACACTTCCAAACCCAGATGTGGACAGCTACGTGTCTTTAAACCCAGCCACAAGGCTCAGGGGACAGCTAGGACTGCACACCCACCTGCCAACTGTCCAGTGTCCTCCTCCTACAGAAAGGTGGGCAGGGCGGAGACACTCTTACTTGATAATGAAGGACTAAGGGCCACACTGACCACCCCTACCGGAAAGGAGATCCTTATTCCTAAATCCAATTTGGTACCCGGTAACCAGGTTGATTTCCTCCTTTTAGAAAAAAAACAAAACACACGTATCTACATACCCATATATAATTTTTTTGTTTTTACATTTAAATATAAAAATACTACTCTGTTTTGTGTTATAAATGGAGGACCAAGTGGTAAGAACTGTTTTTTCCAAAGTAGGGATATCCATCAGTTCACTCAGCTTTGTGTTCTGAGGGCTTGGAGCCCCAAGCAGGGGAGCACGGCAGCAAGAGACCAAGGAAGGGCGTCCCTCCTTAATCCCAGCCAATCCTCCACTAATTTCCATTTACACCTTAGAAAACAGAATCCCACCGAGAGAGGTCCTCACTTAACCCGTCAGGTCTCTCCCTTGTCAGCTATCCTGAGGGAAAAAAATCTTCCTCCCCTGCACCTTCACGAACACATCTGCTCCGTCCGGAGAGCTCACCTACTGGACCAGCACACTCGGGGAAAGCAGTGGTTAGTTTCCCTACCCGTGTCCCCACTAATGCATTAGAAAGTTTCCGTGATAGGGACAGAGGGGGTGCGTGGGTGCGAAAAGATTAAGAACCTGACCCCTCTTATCCTAGCCAAAGAAAGCAAGATTAACTGAGCATACGGAAGAAAAAAAGACCTTGATATTACAGCCTTTGAGTTACACGGGACAAGGAGGACAGCTGGGAGACGGGGAGGAGCTGGAGGGCGGAGAACTAGCAAGGGCTCAGTGGTTGCAAGTCTAGTCCACTTAGTTTTTGTACTGGAAGGGCTCATCGCCAGTCTCGTTGAGAAGACAGGTGCGGATGAGGGCTTCTGTCACCGCAAAGGGGTCACAGTTGGCAGAAGGGCGACGGTCTTCAAAGTAACCCTTCTTCTCCTGGCCAACAGTCCGGGGAATGCGGATGCTGGCGCTACGGTTGGCTACACCAGCAGAAAAGTCGTTGATGTTGGAGGTTTCGTGGAATCCAGTTAGGCGCCGGGCATTGTCCAGGCCCCCCTTGGGATCATAGGCACGGATGTGGTACTGGTGCCGCTTGCTTAGCTTCTCGATGGCCTCTTCAATGTACCTGCAGGAACGGAAAATGAGGGTCCACCTGGTCACCAAGAAATCGCCTGCTCTATAGCGGCAGAAACAGGTATGACTGAAGTTCACCAAGCTATGGCCCCAACACCAATACACTTTCCACGAGGGAAATGACTTTGCCTTGTTACCTATATGTCTCAGGGTTCAGAATCGTGCCTGACAAGTAGTACAAAGTTATCGTTTGTTGACTGAAAAGAGCTGAACAGATCACTCGAAAGAGCTGAGCATCTAGATCTGTCAACTTTTCCCTATCACCATCTTTCAGTCTATTCCTAGAGTATCATGAGGCACTTTTCTTTTTTCGTGGTGGTGGTGTGATACAGGCTTTCACTATGTAGCCCAGGCTAGTCTTAAACTCATGGTGATTCTCCTGCCTCAGCCTCGGAATGCTGGGAATACAGGCATGTGCCACCGCACCCAGGTCATCAGGCACTTCTCAAATGGGGAACAAAATAGACATTTAAACCAGGTATCAAGAACCAGACTTGGCAAGACACTGGGGAGGAGACTGTGCTGAGACCGATGCTCCCCTCCTTCAGTTCCTGCCAGGGGAAGAAGGCCAGCCCCAGCAGCAGGTACTCACTTCAGACCGTTCTCCTCCCGCATGGCCTTTGTGCTGAAGTTGGTGTGACAGCCTGCACCATTCCAGTTCCCAGGAATGGGCTTAGGATCAAAGGTTGCTATCACTCCGAAGTCTTCACATACGCGATGCAAGATGAAACGGGCCACCCAGAGATGGTCTCCCATGCAAATTCCTTCACAGGGTCCTATTTGGAATTCCCACTAGAAAGAATAAGATCGGCCTTTAGAATAAACCACTCATTCTAACACCAGCTTCTGAGCCTGCTCCCTTCTCTATTCACCCACACTTGAGTCTGGGACGGGTGAGCAGTGAATGGGCAGCCTCTGCTGGCCACAGTCATTTGCCTCCCTCACCCTGAGGTCTTAGGTGCTAAAGAAAAAGGTGGCGACTACAGCCATTTACCTGGGCAGGCATGACTTCAGCGTTCGTCCCCGTAATCTTGACTCCGGCGTACAAACAGGCCCGATAATGAGCCTCCACAATATCCCTGCCATAGGCCTTGTCTGCTCCCACACCACAGTAATATGGACCTGCAAACACCAGAACAAAGCGGTAAGCTGCCTGTGAACACCTTTAATCCCAGTATGCGGGAGGCCGAGAGAAGAAAACAGCAGCTCGTGCAAGTGCAGACTGGGATACATAGCTAGAGGTTGGCCTGAGCTACATGTTAGACCTTGTCTCAAACAGAGAAAGAAAAAATTGGTAAGGTAAAAGAATGAGGAAACCAAAAACTCTCAAAGACCAAAATCAGAAGGCCTTCAAAATTTGCTCTCCCGAATAACTATCCCAGCTTTGGCCTGCAGTGGGGGGATGGAGAGCTCTGGGGCTCCTCTCTGTCCTGGCCTTAAAGGTGCCAAAGGCTTCCTCCTCCTCAAAGCCTTCTCCTTACTTTCCTACATTAATATTCACTTCCGGCTTTGGGTAATGTGAGGGTGTCTTTACCATTATTTTAGCCACTCCCATCAGCCTTTTGATTTTGGAGTTGCTCCATCTCTGGAGCGGGGGCCTTCCCGGACAATAAGCACTGGAGGGAAGATTCATCTTCCTCTCTCCAAAGGACTTACCTTGGGGCCCAGGAAAGCCGTTGGAAGGCCAACCGAAGGGGTGGCCATCAGTCCCCATCAGAGTATATTCCTGCTCCATTCCAAACCAGGGGTGCTGGTTGCATACCATGTCCATTATCCGTCTACAGGTGTGTCTTAAATTGGTCTCTAGAAATAGTCAATGTACCATTAGGGTTGTAGAGGAACAGATCTCTCAATCTGAGTGCTGATCAGAAAAGTCCTAACTTACACAACTGAACTGACTCCGGGGAAAACTGTCCCACCAGTAAGTCAGGAACACGGCAGAGGCTACAATGTAACTGTACATTACAGAGAGACTCTGAAAGACTTTAGTTATAATTAAACTCAGTTACAATCAAGTCACATGGGAACTGATCCTGAACAGAGCAAGTGTTCACCTTATCTGCACGCTGGCCATCTCCCAAGAGCCAAATGCCAGGCACTTACACCCGCTGTTCACAAGGCAGCTGCTTCTAGCTGTCAAACTTAGTCCCTAGTTTCTAGGCACTTCCAGTCAAATCTAATTTTTATGGAGAATAATTTGTCCATTAGGAGGCTTACATTCCTGGTGAGTTTAAATGTTAAGTTATATAATATTAGCTGGTACGGAAAACAAAAGTGAGATGAGCTCAGCTAGAAACAATTTCCAAGCTAGAAAAGGCTTCAAAGGAGAGCCTGAGTCTGTAACAACCCTGATGTAAGATCAGAAGTCTTCATTTCTAAAGAAAACAAATCTTAGAAGCCTTAGGTTAAGTGACCTGTGGAGGTTATGGGGAAGCAGAGCCAGGAAATCGTTGGTTGTCTTGGCTTCAGAGCCCAGGACCTTTAGAATACACCTTTTTGAAACAAAGCCAATGAAGGTCCAGCGGCACTAAGTTTAACTGGTTGTATAGCAAGAGATGTCACAGGAGTTCCACTGGGTTTAAGTAGCTAACTGGTTGAAAACTGGAAGTGGGCAAAGGTGCAGTTACCGCAAACCTCTGAGCCAACGTGATTTCAGCCAACCAAGATGTTCACATTTTAGTTAATGGACAGATGGATGACCAGTCCCTCAGAGTACTGACAGTTCTGAGACAGTCTAGCTTTCTAATACCAATTTCAGAATATTTCTCCCTTCATGGAACTCATGGATTGAGTTGGGATCCATACCCAATCTGTACATACCTGCAGGCTTCCGGTTATACTTGAAAACTTCACAGAACACCAGTTTGTTGGGGTCTTTGCGGAAGGGGTCCCGAAACATGGCAACAGGGATGAGGTACATGTCACTGTTGGAGCCTTCTGACTGGAAAGTGCTAGAGCCATCAAAATTCCACTCAGGCAACTCTGGGACAAAAAGAGGTGGGAAAATTACATTAAAAATGTGTAGGAAATCCCCAGCCAAGAATATAGCTAACCTTCTTTAACATTTCCATCTCTAAAGTGAGTCACAAACACCACTATCCCTAGATCCTTCTTCAACAAGTGTACCTACCTATCTCTACAGTCCTTCCCGAATTCCAAGTAAGACTACTACCTAAGTTCCTTAAAGAAATAAATTGCAACAACTACCACCTAAGAACAACATATACTTCCTCCCTAAAAGACTCCACTATGTGCCAGGTGTGGATGTCACCAAGGAGTCAACTATTGAAAATACTGAGGCAAGGGAAAGAATCTTTGTCTCTCATCCCTTACTATCTACCGACTTTTCTCAGTCAAACTGTCCTAGAAAACAGACGTTCCCATACCATTTAGGCCAGTTTGTCACTTCAGTTTACTGAGTTCTCACAAGGTAGAGATCATACTCTTACCTTGTGTGAACAGGGCCCATACAATGTCAGACACACAGCTAGTACACAATGTACGCTATATGTTATGGTCATTCATTCACTCATTCACTCAAATGTGAGCATTATAAGTAAGCTATCTGAAAATAGGGAAGTGGTGACATTTTCCCCTTGGGCCTGGGGTGGGGGCATACAGTTTGTTCTAGACTGAAAAATTAAGGTCACAACTCTAATATAGTAGCCTCTGAAAAGATAGGTAACTAGATCATTTAAGAATTTCTACAAGTGGCCTAATAAAAAGAAACAGATAGTCCCACTCACAAACCACTTCAAAGCACGTACTTTCATGCAGAAGCCACGTGATGAGTAAAGAACACAGTACTTCAAGAGTTTGTAAACTAGATGGCACTTCTTCAGTTAGAGCAGTGGCTTTCAAACTGGGTTCCTGAACATGCGTTAGGGTCAGTTCAGCAGGGATGGCCAAGTCAGCAAAGACTAGCTCCCCACTCTGCACAAACCAGACTCCATCTTTTTTCCTTCTTTTCTCAATACACTGGCTTATAGGCCAGACTCTATTTAAATAAAGAGTTCCTTTGTTGCTACACTCGGAGGCTGTGCAGGAGGCTTTACAGGGATTGATCGAAGTCTGAAAAACCCTGCCTTAGAAAAGCTTTGCAAACAGGATAAAGAAGCCAAATCTAGGCTCTTAGTGCCGGTCTAAAGCTGCTCAATGCCCACCCCCATGCTGCTCCCACTAGGGGCCTGTGCCCCACCCGAGCCCGGCCTTACCTTCTACACACTTGGGCTCACTGTCCAGGGTGCGGGTCTTGCAGCGCAGTCCTTCTCCAGTACCGTCAATCCAGATATACATGGCCTGGACCTTGTCGCCCTGAGGCAGGGCCATGTACACCTGCTTGATGCCTTTGTTCAAGTGGGAACTCGCTGAGGTGGCCATGGTGGAAGATGTTCTAAAGAGAAAAAAGTAGCTTTATCAGTACAGATTCCAAACTGCTCCCCTGCAGGAAAGGATTAAGAGGGACAGCAAAATCTTAAAAAGTGGGGATGGCAATCCTTCTCTTGAAAGTCAATACACCTAAAGGTACTTTTTCTTTTTTTACTCTTTTTTTCAGAGGGCTTACAGTTTTACAGATTGAAATCTTGAGAGCCACCGGTAAAAATCTGGTCACTACCTTTTGATGCAGTTAAAGCAGATAACTGCTAAGGGTCAAGGCATTGGTAGGAACTCATCATCTCTTTACAATGTGAGGCTTAGAGGTCAAAGTTCCACAGCTACTGAAGATATGAACCCCCCAATCTATACTTGTGATTCTATAATTTCCACTAGTCTGATGCAAAGTTCTATAACTCAATATAGTCAAGGTAGGGAATTTTAAAACTAAGCTGGCAAGCCAGGTGTGGTGGCACACCCCTGTAATCTTAGCACTCAGGAGGCTGAGGCAGGAGGATAGCTGCAAGTTCAAGGTCAGCCTTTACATAGTGACCCTGTCTCCAAACCAAAAAAAGAAAAGAAAAAGCTACTAACAGGAACTAAAGGAAATAAAGATTCAGATATAGAATACTTATTTCTTCCAACACAAGTTAAAATCCAGAAAACATGGCTATGGTTTCTGTTATGAGTTTCCCCTTAGCCTCTCACCCCTGTGGTCTGCATGGAGATCCACTCCTCCCTCGAAAACAAAAAACACCTTCATGAGTTTAGATTTGAGGATGAAAAAGCCAGGTTGGCTAGAACATTTAATCAAAGGCTGCCAGTTTGCTATTACTATTACAAAGGTGGTTAGAAATAGCTGATTCAAGTCAGTTTCAAAGGTACCCTCTCGGTAATTTTCACTGATGTGATATGAAGTTCTCATCTCAGGACACAAGCTCAGGCTCAAGTACCAGAATGACGATATTCTCTTGAGATTCCACTAGAAAATCTCTTCAAGTGGGAAATTCCCACTTCTAATCAATAAGATTGATATTTCCAAAGCTCTGGGGCATACTGAAGACTGCAAGCTACAGCCACAAATCTCTGATGCCACAAAACCAGCCTCAACAAAAGAGGAAACATCCCCCGCCCTCCGTGGCCCAGCGTGGCTGGAAAGGGAACATATTGTTCTCCTCCAATGACTTGGGCAACTTCTGAAGTACAGTGGCAATGTTTCTATGGGCAACCGTCCATGTTTGCCCAGCTGTAAACAACTGCTTCTCCCAAAAGCCTCACCCAAGGGGAAGGGAACCTCGTAGTTAAATCCCACAGCTCCTTTGCCTAGTGTCTAACTAGACCCGGTCATCAAAGTCCACCTTGCACCTCAGCCTAAAGGCCAGGGCAACCCTTAAAACCTTCAGTGTCCATTGAAAGCTGTCTCAACTCCAACATCAAACCACACGTTGTGGATCTCTCTTGCTTTTCTCCACGAGACCAAGTGGAAGCCAGCAGCCCATGCACTGTAATCAACTGGTGCCGCCGCCACGGCAGTGCCACGTTCAGGTGGGGGAACGCAGTCAGGAGTTGCCGGCGGTTCGTGCAGCTGCAGCCTGTGCCGGCTCCTCCTCCTCCCAGCCCCCTCACTCACCCCAGCCACAGAGCGTGAACCGCGTTGTTAGGGGTGCCCTCTCTAACTCTCCTCTTTTTAGAGCCGTGTTCGCGCTTCTGGCTCTCGGGCTCTCGCAGGTCCACACACTGCAGCTTGCCCGGGGAGCGCTTTGGAGGGGGGGACCCCGAGCGCTCGGAGCAGGAGGCGCTGGAATTGGCCGGTGGTTGGTTTAAGCTCATAACCTTGCCCTGCGATTTCTCCCCGTAGTTCCCGGAGCATGTCACGAAGGCCACGCAATTGGGAGACCGCACGGCCCAAGAGCTGGCGCAGTCTTCACCCTCGTCTGAGGTTTTCTTTGTGGAGTCGCGGCTGGGGGGGCATCCCCGCTTTCCGCCCCCAGGGGGTTTGGGATAATCCACCGTGAAGGCTGTCCCTTCCCACCGCTGTGTCCTGGAAGCCGGAGCCCCGGTCTTCGGGCCCGCGTGGACTCGCCTCGCTCAGGGGGCCATGCCCGCAGCCCACAGGGCAGGCTGGTGGGGGGGCGAGGGTGGTCCAAAGCGCCCGCTGCCACCCGGCCCGGTCTCCACCGGGGCGCCCGCCGGCCACGCCACTGGCCGGCTCTCCATTGTTCGGTCACATTGCAAGGGCCCAGGACCACGCCACAGACTCCGGCTACCCGCTTCCACCCAGGCGCCTAGGAGGCCCCCAGGACCACCACGACTCCCCCAAGACCCTCAGGCGGACGAGGCGGGCTAGGCGCCCGCGACCCCAGGACCACCGGTGCACAGCTCACGCCACCCGGAGCGCAGGACTGGGGGCGGCGCCTTCCAGCAGAAGGGTGATCAAAACAAGCCACCATCCCCCGCGCCGGCGCTTTCCCAGCCTGGCGAGGGCGCGTCCCGCGGTCGCCAACCCCACCGGGTGGGGGCACCAGCGCCCGCTCCCGGCGCGAGGGAGCGGGCCGCGCCCGAGGCCGGAGCGAGCGCGAGGAGGGAGGCGGCACCGCAAGCTGGCTTACCGGGCGGCGAGCGGGACACGGCGGCCGCGAAAGCGAGGCAAGGAGGGCGAAGAGGCCAAAGTTGTGCTCACAAGTCCCGCGCTCCTCCCATGCTCCGAGCCGCGGAGGGCCGCAGCCCGCTGCCTTTATCGGCCGCCCGGCACCGCCCCCGGCGCCCTGATTGGCTCGCGGC